TCGATGAGTCCCCAGACTAGAGTAGTTAATGCTGGAACCTGCTGTTGTAGTGCTGACTGATAAATCGTGATGCCTCTGTGTTCATTCGTGGTAAAATGGCTTATGCTGCCCACTGTTGCATGACTAGTGTGACCCTGCTGCTCAGATCATGACAGACACACCAGAGGAATGTCTGCTCTAATGTCTCTTGATTAAGTCTGTGCTATTTAATCAATTTCTTAAAAAACTGAGGTCGCGCAAAATGAGAATAGAAAACCCACTTGCTTAGCTATGGTTGGAAAAGACCAAGAATCCATTAATTCATAGAATCACAGAAGGGTTTGGGTTGGAAGGGACCTTAAAGATCATCTAGTTCCAACCCCCTGCCATGAGCAGGGACACCTCCCACTAGAGCAGGTTGCTCCAAGCCCCGTCCAGCCTGGCCGTGAACACTTCAGGGATGGGGCACCCACAGCTTCCCTGGGCAGCCTGTGCCAGCGTATCACCACCCTCACAGTGAAGTATTTCTTCCTAATTTCTAATCTAAATCTCCCCTCTTGCAGTTTGAAACCATTGCCTGTCATCCTGTCACAACACTCCCTGATATAAAAGTTCCTGCCCATAGTTTTTCTAGGCCCCCTTTAAGTACTGAAAGGCCACAAGGAGCTCTCCCTGGGGCCTTCTCTTCTCCAGGCTGAACAAGCCCAACTCTCTCAGCCTGGCCGCCCAGCAGAGGGGTTCTGGCCCTTGGATCATCTTTGTGGCCTCCACTGGACCCTCTCAAGCAAGTCAATGTCTTTTTTTATGCTGGCCCCAGCACTGCAGGTGTGGTCTCATGGGATGCTCAGTTCCTGCATCTTTCAATGGCATCCTGGGCAGCTGGATTAATTTTTTCATAATGTGTAGTGGAGAACAATTGCACCTTTGCAATGATGAAGGCTGTCACTGGGATAATGGGAACTGTGGGAAGGATACACATAAGGATGTCTGTAACTTAGTCCCACGTTGTAGGTACGTGTTTGGTTTTAATATTGAATTTATGGTTTTGTTTGATCAGAGCCAGACATGATTACAGCAATAAACACAGCAGTCAGCAGCACTTCTCCTCTGTCAGGAAGCCATTTCTCGTTTCTGTCAATAAATATTAATGAGTTCTTACTTGAAAAAGAACAGAGGAACTCTGAAGGGAACTTTGTGTTCACCCCAACCTCTGGATATGTGCACAGGTAGCAAAACAAAGAACTTCATAAAAGCCATTGCTTTTTTTATCTTTCTTCAAAAAATAACTTGCATTGCTGGATTTCTTTACCAGCTTTCTCTCCCCAGCCCCCCAACAGAGCTTTTATGTGATGTGTTGGTGATTGTTAGATAATTAAGCATTTTGGCATTGTTTTGTTTTGATTTGGAACTTGTTTATGGATAAAGCTTGAAACTTTCTAGAATTAAAGACAGGTTGCCCAGGGAAGCTGTGGATGCTCCATCCCTGGAATTGTTCAGGGCCAGGTTGGATGGGGCTCTGAGCAACCTGCTCTAGTGGGAGGTGTCCCTGCCTGTGGCAGAGGAGGGTAAAATGAGAGGATCTTTAAGGTCCCTTCCCACCCAAACCACTCTATGGATTAATGAATTTCTTGGTCTTTTGCTTCCATAGCTAAGCCAGTGGATTTTCAATTCTTACTTTGTATAACCTCAGTTTTTAAAGAACAATTTACTTTTTAAAAGTTTTTGTAAAGGCAGTAGTTCTGCTTATTTGAACTTATTTAATATGGAGAAGGCACTTTTTCTGCTGTTACAGAGCATGGGGTTATGCTGCACTCTGGAGTAGCAGCATTTTCTGGGTTATTTTAACTGTAAAACTGACCTTTGTGTGCTTTGCTTATCTGGAAACTTTATTAACAAAAAAAAAAATCTTCATTTTTTAGGAAGGTGTCACTAATTTTGCCTGAAAAAAAATATTTATTAGATAGGAATTTTTTGTTTTGCTTCATATGCTGTGACAGTTCTTTGATTCTTGACTTTAGTGAAGCTGGGCAGAGGTTCTTGGTGGGCAGCCCAAACCAGCAGCCTGTCCAAATGTGCTGTGTTTGCTTTCCCTCTGCTTAGATCAGCTGAGCTTCTTCTGGCATTCCCACTGCCAGCCATCCCAGGGACAGGCCTCTGTCAGGATCAGCTGCATCAGTTTTCGTGCTGATGTTCTACAGAGTCAAAAAAAACAAACTCCAACCCAAACAGTTGCTGCCAGTGTAGCATGGTTCTAGCATTTTTTGCTTGGTGGAATGCTGTGGTGGAAGGAAACTGGATTTCAGTGGGTTGACCTGTTGGTGGCATTCAGAGCACAGCTCCCAGACTCCCCTGGGGGCTTTGCTAGATGTGCACTGAGGTCAGGTGTTCCCTTTTTTCACAACACAACTTTAAACCTCTTGGCTCTCTGCCTATTTAACTTGACAGGTAATACTCTTGGGATTCAGGATCTGTAGAATCATTAAGGTTGGAAAAGACCTCTAAGGTCACCAGGTCCAACCATCAACCCAGCACTACTATCACCACTAAACCATGTCCTGAAGTACCACATCCACACGTTTTTTGGACCCCTACAGAGATGGTGGCTCCACCAGCTCCCTGGGCAGCCTGGGCCAATCCCTCACCACTCTGGCAGGAAAGAAATTCTTCCTAAGATTCAGTTTAAACCTCCCCTGGCACAACTGAAGCCCATTTCTTCTTGTCCTGTCACTGGTTACCTGGGAGAAGAGACCAACCCCCACCTCACTCCAGCCTCCTCTCAGGGAGCTGTAGAGAGCCAGAAGTTCTCCCCTCAGCCTCCTCTTCTCCAGGCTCAACCCCCTCCGCCTCCTCTCCTCCAGGCGGAACACCCCCAGGTCCCTCAGCTGCTCCTCACAAGCCATGTTCCCCAGACCCCTCACCAGCTTTGTTCCCCTCTCTCGACCCACTCCAGCCCCTCAAATGTCTTATCCTGTGGTGCCCAAACTGACCCCAGTGCTCAAGACGTACCTTAGTTAAGCTCTGCTTTTAAATGGGAGTGGTTGCTTTATTGTAGTTGGCATAAAGATTTCTAAGACTCCTGTCTTTTTACAAATAAAAAGTCATCTGAGCTTGCAGAATAAATAACTCCCAAGTTTTTTGGTGTTGTAGGAGACTGGTGACCTAGCAGAGAAGCCAGTGTTGCTGGACATGTCTTTGAATTTCAGCTGTTGCTGCAGCATTCACCACGTGCTTGTATTTGAACTACAGATGGGTTGGTCTGTGGGAAGCTCTTGTCACTTTATTGCCCACACAGATACATCCCACGTGTCCCAAGGCTGCTTCTAGGAGCACAGAATCACAGAATGGTTTTGGTTGGAAGAGACCTTTAGGATCAAGTCCATTAACCCAGCACTGCCAAGGTGCTGTTGCTCATGCTGGAGGTCAGAGTGCATTGGAGCTAGCAGCTGTTCTCTAGATCAGCTGCCCTCCAGACTACCTGCACTGCGCCTGATTTTCATGGTCAGTAAAATATCTTCTTGGATTTTCAGTGTCAGACTGTGTTCAGGCACGCAGTGGCATCAAATAATGGCTGGATTGAGCCACTGAAGAACTCCTGGCTTGGACTGTAGCAAAAGCCCCGCGGACGTTTTGGTGTTCCTCTTGGCTCCAGCAGGTGGAACTAGATGGCTGCTCGAGAGAAGCCTAAGGAATTTCAGCATCTGAGAAGGGTGGAGGGGGAAGCTCCCGGACAGAAGGCTTCAGGAGAGTCAGAATTCAGTTAGTGATATGTCAGCATTCCTAGGACAGTCTTAACATTTAATCTTGTATCCTACAGATTTGTTTCATGTGTAAAATTAGGTGTTGCCTACAACCACTGTAGCTGGACTATAACAAAATTGCTGTGGGGGTGCTGGCATTGAGCTTTCCTTCACAAATGCAGCCCTACAGGTCCTAGTCTAGATGGGTGTCTGCTGGCTTGTGTGGATACACCTCAAGTCATGTTTCTAACACTTGTTGTTTTGTTTGGGTTTTTAAAAGAGGGTCTCTGGCTCTTAAGGTACAAATAACTTCTGATCAAAAAGAGCAGAAGGAGACCCAGTGCCTCTGGGATACAAGGGAATGGAGGCAGAAAGAAAGTCACCTTGCAGGGAAATCTTAATGTTAATAGCTTTTTCTTAGAAGCACTGGGAGTATTTAAGAAGGATATAAGTTGGGGTTTTATCTAAAATGCCGTGGAAAAAAGAGGGGGTTGATTTCTCTGTAATAAAATGGCAGCTTACTCTGTTTTTAAATATTCAGTTATGATACTGGAGGTTTTCATAAGAGTCAGTGATTTTCCATATTTGTAAGTTGGTCATTGCATATAAATGGCAAATAACAGTAAACAATCAGTCTTGGAGCAAGGTGTGATGGATTTGGGTTTGCAGTGGTTTTGTAACTGGATCTTTACCCACACAGGGGTTTGGGTCTGGTTTTTGGACAGGCATTCCTCCTCTGGGTTGGTTCCTTAGCTGGACGTGAGCGTTGTCTGCCATATCCCTTTCTTTGGGATTCAAACAGATATTTCCTATTCCAGAGTTACAGATTCTTAACTACTTGGAAAAACAGTTGCATTTCTTTTAACAAAACACAAATCAGTGTTGTTTGGATCCTGCTTGTACAATCAGTGTTGCACTTGAGTGTCATTCAGCTGGTAACATGAAACATTTGCCATAGGATCAGCATGTAGGTATTGAGCATTCACAGCCTGGAGTGTTTCCTGCTTGTTTTTTTTTTTTTTCTCTTTTAATAAAGAATGTTATGTTTCTATGGAAGATGAAATTCTGCTTTTAACAACAAATAGAACAAAAATTTCCTGGCTGTAGATACTACCCATTTGATGGACTTGTCCTTTTCCTTCTCCTGTGCTCTGGTCCTCAGCAGTTATTGTGAAGTCTGTTGTAAAGATCTGACTTGTAGTTCAGGACTACTAGAGAGCTTGAAGATTTTTGTGTCAGCTTCTTGTTGCTTTATTTACTTATTTATTTATTTTTATCTTTCAGCTCTGTGAGAAAGTTACCACTGAAGTTACTACTGATGGAAGTACTGTCTTGGCAAGTGTAATTGCTGCTTGCAGAAGGCTTTTCTCTCAGCCTCCCAAAGGTGATTGTCACTTTGAGCAGTGACAGGAGCAGGCTGCATTCCTTGCTGAGGACTGCACTTGTGTGCCATTTAGGTTTGTTGTCTGGGGGGGAAGAAGTAAGTTCTTGTACTAACCAGCCATTAATCTTGAGGTAGAACATTGATTCTTAGGGGCTAGTAAAGAACCATGGCAGTCTTGTACTACCCAGCCATTAATCTTGAGGTGGAACATTGATTTATGAGATTCTTAGGGGCTAGTAAAGAACCATGGTAGTTTGCTCTGCTTCCTGCTGTACGAGGCAATTTTGTGTTGAATTAAGCTCTGGTTTAAAGGATAGCTTTACTTTAGGTTATTAAATACACTTGATATTTTCTTGTCAACAGGAGTAGAGTGATTTGTGGGAATCTAGTATTGCTTTTCAATCAAGAGATGAGGAAAATCATTTTTGGAGTCAATATGTTGCTAGCTAATTTGCTGTTGTATACATTCAGCTTGTGACTACTGAAATGCAATGACAAATTTGTAAACTACAAAGAAGTTGTGAGCTCTTTAACTTTCTCTTAATAGGATTTGAAAAATATTTTCCCAATGGGAAGAAGACTAATGGAACTAAGGGTACAACTGGAGAAACAAAAGGTACAGAAAGCTGCTTGATTTCAGTTCTTTGTGGGATGTGTATTCATTAGATTTTAGCATAACGTTTGTTGGGGTTTTTTTGTTGATTTTTGAGGGAAGATGTTTTTATACCAGATTATTTGAAAAGTGTGAATTGATATGTTTTCATTAAGTGTTATTGATATGTTTTCATTAAGTGTTATTTTGCTTTCATATAGTGTATATCCTCTGGAGTAACAGTTATTTTCTCTTAGGCTTCTGCTGGAATGCTGTCCTGAATTCTTGTTTTACTGTTTCCTGTTAGTTGACATCAGTCATGCATTGCATTCAGAGATTCTCTGTGTCTGTAGTTCCCAGCTTTTCCTAGAGCAAGCTAAAATACCCACTTTGCTGCATGGAATAACCAGAATTGTTATTCTGGGTGAGGATCCAGAACCAGCTCTGCAGCCAGGACCAGCCATGTAGCCTGCTCTTTGAAAGAGCAGTTGGTAGTGGCAGTGCTAAGGGAGCCCTGTCTTTACAAGGAAGGGGATTGATCTGGAAATTAGCAGTGATAACAGCTGCTCTGTTGTGTCCCAGATCTATAGAACACCTCTGCCAAGGAGGAGGAGAGGCAGCAGCCCTCAGAGTCTCTGGGAGCAGTAATAGGAGCAGCAGTTTTCCTTCCACTAGGCCTTGAATGGTAAAATCTGGTGTCATGGCTGGAGGGGTGAACTATGGGAGGCAGAGGTGTTATTTAGAGCTTGTGATGTCTGGTTTTTAAAAACAAAACAAAACAAACCACTCACCCTGCTCCCACCCCAATGAAAACCTCCACCAATCCCCCCCCTCCCAGCCCCCAACAAATACCCCAACAAATGTTTGCAATAATTTTGATTGTGTCTTGGATTAGTGCAGTAGAATTAAGTTTCATTTGGTCTCCATAACAGATTTCTGTCATATTTAGGATATGATGAGGAAAATCATTTTTGGAGTCAATATGTTGCTAGCTAATTTGCTGTTGTATACATTCAGCTTGTGACTACTGAAATGCAATGACAAATTTGTAAACTACAAAGAAGTTGTGAGCTCTTTAACTTTCTCTTAATAGGATTTGAAAAATATTTTCCCAATGGGAAGAAGACTAATGGAACTAAGGGTACAACTGGAGAAACAAAAGGAATCATTTTTGGAGTCAATATGTTGCTAGCTAATTTGCTGTTGTATACATTCAGCTTGTGACTACTGAAATGCAATGACAAATTTGTAAACTACAAAGAAGTTGTGAGCTCTTTAACTTTCTCTTAATAGGATTTGAAAAATATTTTCCCAATGGGAAGAAGACTAATGGAACTAAGGGTACAACTGGAGAAACAAAAGGTACAGAAAGCTGCTTGATTTCAGTTCTTTGTGGGATGTGTATTCACTAGATTTTAGCATAACGTTTGTTGGGGTTTTTTTGTTGATTTTTGAGGGAAGATGTTTTTATACCAGATTATTTGAAAAGTGTGAATTGATATGTTTTCATTAAGTGTTATTGATATGTTTTCATTAAGTGTTATTTTGCTTTCATATAGTGTATATCCTCTGGAGTAACAGTTATTTTCTCTTAGGCTTCTGCTGGAATGCTGTCCTGAATTCTTGTTTTACTGTTTCCTGTTAGTTGACATCAGTCATGCATTGCATTCAGAGATTCTCTGTGTCTGTAGTTCCCAGCTTTTCCTAGAGCAAGCTAAAATACCCACTTTGCTGCATGGAATAACCAGAATTGTTGTTCTGGGTGAGGATCCAGAACCAGCTCTGCAGCCAGGACCAGCCATGTAGCCTGCTCTTTGAAAGAGCAGTTGGTAGTGGCAGTGCTAAGGGAGCCCTGTCTTTACAAGGAAGGGGATTGATCTGGAAATTAGCAGTGATAACAGCTGCTCTGTTGTGTCCCAGATCTATAGAACACCTCTGCCAAGGAGGAGGAGAGGCAGCAGCCCTCAGAGTCTCTGGGAGCAGTAATAGGAGCAGCAGTTTTCCTTCCACTAGGCCTTGAATGGTAAAATCTGGTGTCATGGCTGGAGGGGTGAACTATGGGAGGCAGAGGTGTTATTTAGAGCTTGTGATGTCTGGTTTTTAAAAAAACAAAAGAAAACAAACCACTCACCCTGCTCCCACCCCAATGAAAACCTCCACCAATCCCCCCCCTCCCAGCCCCCAACAAATATTTGCAATAATTTTGACTGTGTCTTGGATTAGTGCAGTAGAAGTAAGTTTCATTTGGTCTCCATAAAAGATTTCTGTCATAATTGGGATTTTTTTTAGTTCTTGGTGCCCAAGTGTAATCAGTTATACAATTAAGAGTCTTCTCTTGTGATCATAGCTGTATGAGATGGATGTCTCTCTACTAGTTAATATACATCTGTTTTTCTATGGAATATGCAGTTTCTCATATCCTCTAATTATTGTAGCATTGCAAACTAATTCATTTTTCAGAACAACTCTGTTTAATTTTAGAACTGATAAAAAATAGTGTGAGGTTGGTATAAGGTACAAAGATGTGTTGTTTGTTCTGTTTTATTTTTTGCAGAAGCAAAGCAAGCTAGTGCCCGACAGCCTAGTGGGACTAGTAGTGGAGGAGGTGGCAGTGGTGGAAAAAAAGGTGGCAAGAAAGAAGAAACTAACTGGTGGACCAGATTACAGAAGGTCTTGACTTTAAAATATCTTCCTGGTACTATCATAGAATCATTAAGGCTGGAAAAGACCTCTAAGATCACCAAGTCCAACCATCAACCCAGCCATACCGCGACCATTAAACCATGTCCCAAAGTGCCACATCTGCATGTTTTTGAACCACTGCAGGGCTGGTGACTCCACCAGCTCCCTGGGCAGCCTGGGCCAAGGCCTCACCACTCTGCCAGGAAAGAAATTCTTCCTAAGATCCAATTAAAACTTCCCCTGGTTCAACTGAAGCCCGTCTCCTCTCATCCTAGTGTTGGTTACTTGTCCCCATGAAATAACCTGGGATATTTTTTTGTTTGTAGAGCCAAATTCTGATAGCCTAAATCTTCTTCAGGCAACTGTGGCTAGTTACACAGTGGCTGGCTCTAGGTGGCTCTCCACTCCGTGCCTTTCCTGTGCCTTCAGAGGCATCTCTCTGGTTCAGGAACCATGATGAAGTTTTAAGTTACATGAATATGGTTGGTAATAGTCAATAATCTTTACAGTGGAGCATCAGGCCTTTAAAGGCTTTGGATTTTGTTTCAGAATGTCAGTTTGTAAAACTTGCTGACCACACAGTGCTAGCTGTATGTAGTTTATTGACATTAACATAGCATTCAGACCTTAATGGAATACTTAACATAAGATTCTTTTCAAAATTTGTATTTATTGTCATCAGCTGTAGCACAAAGATGATAGCAACTGGCAGTACAGGAATATAGAGAATATCTTTTTATTTTACTTAGTGGTCAGTTTTTTTCCCTCTTTTCTGGGCTTTCCCTGTTATTCTTTCTTCTTTTATTTTTGTAGGTCTTGCATGTAATCCTGGAAGGCAGGAAAAGTTGTTATAGAATGGAGAAAGTTCATATAATAGATGTGAACACTTTTTTTTATATATAAATGGTTCATAGATCAAAAGTGCTCAGTTACTATTTGTAAAACACTTCAGAAGTCTTCCACTACTGTTGTAATTCCTCAGAGGTTACCAAAGTGTGTTTATACAACAAAATACAGCTTTGTTTGACACTCTCTGTGGTGACCTTGAGAGCAGGGTGTAGAAGCCACAAATAAGTACTAGAAGTTGTTTCTGTTCTTACTGTATTACAGACTCTGAACTGTTTTCCCCCTCTGTTTCCCAGGGTGACATCCCATGGGATGTCAGGGAGTTCCGGATGTACGTGGTGGGAAGTTCTTTCTTCTGGACAATGGTTGTGTACTACTTCTTCTTCAGGGTCCCTGGGAGGGAAATCACCTGGAAAGACTTTGTCAATAACTACCTTTCCAAAGGAGTGGTGAGTAGGGAGGGGAATCCAAAGGGAAAACCAGTCTGCTGAAGATGCTCATTCCTGCCTCCCTGCTTATGCTTGTGTCCTTCTGTCTGTGGAGGGAGAACTGGCTCCAGAGTAACTTTTGAGGGACAAGAGGATCAGGTTCCATCTTAATCAGTTCCCTGCTCTGATGTTCTGGATGGCTATAGAGGTTCTCTATAGAACTTGGCAGATTTCCACACTTGGAGTAATACATAGGTGATGCCCTGAAGTTCAGGAGATCCAGTGTCTTACCTAGGCCTGAGCCACTGGTTCTTGGCTCTGTTACCTCCTTATCTGTAGCTTCACTTGCAGGTTAGGAAAGCATGGACTTGCCTCCTTCTCTAGGCTTCAGAGCTGGGATTTTGCATTAAGAGCTTGCTCCCTACCCCTCTGTTACTTTTGTAGGGCCCTGAACAGGTTGTTTCCTACTTTCTTTTACTGGTTTATGCAGAGCTTCTCTGTACTCCTTCTGCCTGCACTGTCTTACAGTCCTGTTCTTAACTGACAATTATGTGTACATCTGCAGGGAAAACCTTACTCATTTTTATTGTGAGGAAGTAAGACACTAGCTCAGCAAAAAGCTGCATCTGGCTGTTACAGTGAACAGAGCCCAAACCCTTGTTGCAGAGAAGCATTATGCAACCAAAGTCTCTTGGGCCTGTGTAAGATGTAGCAGGGATGTTTGGATATGCTAAATCTGTAGCTATCAAATGCTCTTGGTTGCCACAGTGGTAGCCAGTTAATGGGGGGAAGACATCAGCACCCCTGGGGTTACACACTTTCAAAACAAAGACCTTCAGGTAGTTTTGTATGAAGTCTGGTTAGATCTGGAGCAGCTTCTTAGCTCCTGTTTTGCTTCAGTTCTGCCAGAAATGGCCACGTGTAGTGAGTGTGTGAAAACAAGGTTACTCTTCAGGCCAAACTTGTAGAACCATGGCTGGTTTAAATTCTTTAAAGATACTGAAACCAGTTGTTTTATGGAAGGAAACTTTAGTTGTCTTCTGAAGAGATCCTGTCAAATTGAAGACACAAACCATTTCAGACTTCTATCAAAAAAGCTTAACAGTATATATCTGTGAACATGCAGCTCAGTTCTTGATCTCACTTTATATAGTAACTGTTACCTCAAGTAAATTCTTTTATCTAATTGATATTACTGTGTTTAATATGGCTTAATAAGCACAGGAGGGCTTTTATTAGAGAAAACACTTGTAAGAGCAGTTAAATTTTCCCTCGTTTTGTTCAGTTTGGTTTGCTCTGTTTTGGAAGCTGCTACAAGAATTTGGAGTCATGTGGTCTGTTGCCTGTGTTGTTTGAGCATTGAAATAGTTAAGTCTTGTTTAACTGTTCCACTGTAGCTGTGATTTGAGCTGGAATGTGTATTGGGTTCCTACTATCTAAGTTTTCATGTGCTAATATCCTTTACACATGGGATTCTTCATGCCATTCCTAATGGCAAACTGCAGACTGTGGAACCATCTGGATCTACATCATGAATTTTATTCTCCTCCAACAGGACAGGTTCATGTTGGTGTGTGTGTCTCTTGGCTGTGGTGGAAGTGCAGTCACTGTGCTTGGAACTCACCAGAAGCTTTGTTCTTTCCTCCTGCAGGTGGACAGACTTGAAGTGGTGAACAAGCGCTTTGTTAGAGTCATCTTTGTTTCTGGCCAGTCTCCTCATGAGTGGGTAAATGCTTTTAATACATGCACATGAGGCACTAGACACAGCAAAGCCATCCTGTTAGGTAAAGCTGGATGCAGAAGACTTGGTCTGGAGCATTAACTACTTCAATCTAAAACATGTTTTCTGCCTTACTGTTACATTATCCTACATTGTGTGGTTTTCACTTTGTTTTGCCACGGATATCTTAAAGCTGTGGCAAGTGGTTCCTCTCCAGCACCATGCTCTTAATTCAAATACATGAACAAGAGTAAGAAATTGCTGGAGGTCCTGCATCTCTAACTGTTGTTTTCAGCCTGCTGAAGAGACCCCCAGACTTAACCATACATACTTTTGGCTCTTGTCTGTTCCAGACTCCTTTTAGCCAGTTATTTTTAAAACAAAAGAGGAACTTTGTCAGGTTGCCCCTTCCTGGGTGGTAGTTTTTTAATTGACTTTCTGAAACAAGGTCTGCAAGCCCCTCTGGGGCAGTGAAATCTTGCAGCAGTTACTTCACCAGTGGGTTTCAGTGTGACTTATTTATACACCTACTCTTTAGCCCACATACCACCAGTTGCCTCAGTTTCTCAATCAGTTAATACTTAGGACCAATCTTTTTTTTTCCTATTTTTCAATGTTAGGGTGAGTAAGGGCAGGTCAGGCAGGTCATGGTGCAAAAAGGGAGATCTTTAAAAACTGAATCTCAGCACTGTTTGAAAATACATCAGGAAAAAAATTCCAGTATAAGTTCATGCTGTCTTGTGTGAAGACAGCTAACTTCAACCCTGGTATGGTCTTCAAAAGTAGAGAATTGCCTTTCTTGCCCAGAAAAGCTGAGACTTTGTGATGAACAGTAAGTGTGTGGCTGCTGTGTTTGCTGGTTCAGTGCTCTGTCTTACACTGACTGTGTAGCTCCCTCCTGAAGATCTGTTTGTGCACTCCCCTTTGCTCCTGCAGAAAATGCCAGGATTTCAGTCCATTTAAAGTGCCCCAGAGCTGTTGGGTGTGTGACTTCTGTGGCAGCAATAACAGACACAGTATATTGGGGTTGGTAGGCCTTGGATTTATTACATGCATCTTACAGCAGTTGCATGCTTAACAAGGCAACTTAAAACTGTTATAGTCTGAATCTGTTCTGAGAATTACTTGTGTAATGAAGGTGAAATAAGCCAGGGCACTTTGTGGTGATATCTGCCTTTTTTCCTAGCAGTACGTCTGGTTTAATATTGGCAGTGTGGACACCTTTGAAAGGAATCTTGAAACTGTGCAGCAGGATCTGGGAATAGAAGTGGAGAACAGATTGCCAGTAGTCTACTCAACAGAGAGTGATGGGTAAGAAGCTGCTTTCAAAAAAGCCTCTTGATGAAAAAGGTTGTGTTTACAGTAGAAAGGTCGAGCTGTAAGACCTTACACTTCCCTAGACTGCACTGCTATCAGAATAATAATTATCTTGGGTTTATCTCTGAGTGTTAACTGTAAGAGGAGCTGTTCAGTATTTTGTCTGTGTAGAAGTCTGTATCCTCTTACCCTAAATATAGCTTCTTACTACATAAATGTTTCTGTTTACAATTAGTCCTTCCTTCATTTAAGCCCTTCCTCCAAGTGGCTTGGACTAGAGCAGGAGACATCCAGGCACAGCTGTAAAGCTCCAGAAATGGCACTCATGCAGATTATTTGGACAGAGAAAACAGGGCCTAGAACTACAGCACATTGACCAAGATATAACAAGCACCAATTTCTGCCTGTAAACTCAGCAGAAGTCAGATTCTGTGGCCTTGCAAAAAGGCAAGAAATGGATGATTAAGTAAATCATGCTGTCCTGCCTGTTAGCAGGAGCTGGAAGGTGCATCATGCTTTTAATCTCTCAATTGGTGAAGAAGAATAGTACTGAGATGGGATTTATGGCATTGTTGCTTCCCCAGTAGGGAATAACAGCTCCAATACTAGGTTTATGTTCTCTGTATTAGTCTTATGTACCTGTGATTTTTTTTTTTTATCTGGGCTTTAGAAAAGACTAGATGTGGTTTTCTGCATGGCTTAGAAGTCAGATATAATCTTTTATCCCAAGAACTGATTTCTTTTTTGATCCAGGTGAGGCGTTTGACTCCTGCTGGTGTCTGTGAAATAGGTTTTGTACCATCAGGAAATTCAACTTTGGGTGTAGTAATTTGTGTTACTAATGACAAAGGCTCATTTGCTGCCTCTCTTGTGTTTTCATTCTTGATACTGTGGGCTGTGCTTCAGTTTTGGGGGATGGAGGAGGAAGTTTTGCTTCTTCCTGCAATGTGTTTTACCAAGCTGCTGCTGCCTGTTTGTCTTGGTGGCAACAGGGAAGACAGTAGCCTTAACTCTGGGCCATCCTGAAACTTCAGGCAGAGGTCTTCTGTTCCCTGTTCTGCAAAGTGTCTCTGCCTCCTTTCTCTGTTTCTGTCTAATTATAGAATCACAGAATCCTTTACGTTGGAAAAGACTTTTAAGAACATCAAGTCCAACCCTGAACTCAGCACAGCCAAGCCCACCACTAACCCATGTCCCTCAGCACTGCATCTCCACAGCTTTTAATCCCTCTGGGGATGGGGACTCCACCACTGCTCTGGGCAGCATGAGGCATGCTCTTAAGGACAGTCCATAAATAAACTGTTGAGCCACTATTTAAACAAATCTGGAAGGAAATGAGTGGACAGGGCAACGTGGTGCTTGGGTGAAGAGGCTGCATGTAAGCCTGAGGTTCCTTGCAACAGGCTGGGAGAATTATATCAGTTCCTGTGTCATCACACAAACATTTCAGTAGCTGAACCCCTCTTTCTGGCCACAGCCTCTCTGGCACTTTTCTGCTCAGTGTCTGTGCTTCATAGAGCATATTGCCTGTAGCTTCTTGCTCTGCCCCCAAAATGCCACAGGGCACAGGAGGGAGCAGCAACTATTTGATCAGAGCACTGCTGTTCCCTGCTGATCAGAATCTGCTCAGTACTGTAGGATAGGGAAGATCCTCCTTTTCCTCTTCAGAAACATGAGGTATCAGTAGAGCCTGGAAATGCTGTGCTCATGTATGGTACTGCTGCTTTTCAGCTTTTTGAACAGCTCAATGTCCTGATGGAGGATCAGGGACACCCTTAGCAAGTGTGCAGGTGACACCAGGCTGAGTGCTGTGGTTGACATGCTGGAGGGAAGGGAGGTTGCACAGAGGGACCACAAAAAGCTTGAGGAATGGGCCCATGTGAACCTCATGAGGTTCAACGAGGCCAAGTGCAAGGTCCTGCCCCTGGGTCAGGGCAACACCTGGTGTCAGCA